CTTTTTTTCCCCCCCCCCCCCCCCCCCCCCATGTCCCTGACTTGTGCCAGGTTTCTGGATGGCGTTCCGAAGCTGGCGGATCTAGAGGAGGTGTGCTCGAAGGTACTGCGGCATGAGAACTTCAAGGCGCTTCCTGTGCGGCGTGCCTGGTCTTACTCGACGCGGTTTGAGTGGCGTGATATCGAGGTACGTACGTACGGGAGGTCGATTCATCTGACGGTTGTTGGCCGCTTTCGTTGGCCGGGCAGACGGTCCTCACCTCCCTAACTACAGTACGCGCGCGCCGTTTGTGTGCCCGATCCCGCCTGGGAATGTTCCGAGGTGTACTAGAATGAATGCCATGGACGAAAACAGTAAACCAACGTGTTTCACACACCGCCGTGTGTAGAGTCGTTTTATTCACAATTTTCCGAGGTATCCAAACAACCCTGATTTTAATGTAATTTTTTGAAAATATAGACGATTGCTGCCGGCATCTCCACATTTGTTTTTTGCACGGTTGGACACGTTTGCGGTGTCACGTTAACCCGGCGGGGTCACGTTAACCCGGCGGGGTCACGTTAACCCGGCGTTGTGCGGGGCGTTCGACACCGCACATGAAGTGTGGAATAGACCAGCAGATAGAGAGCGCGCGCGCGCGCGAGAGAGAGAGAGAGAGAGAGAGAGAGGCACAGACAGAGAGACAGGGAGAGGTTTGAGAAGAGAGAAACAGAGAGCGAAAGAGCGAGAACCGAAAATAACCGCCGCATTCCAGAAAAGCGTTGTGAAGTCATTACTAACTTTTTTGGTGTCATGGTGACAGGTGAAGCCATCGGACGTGATAACGTCGGTGAAAGCCGACGGATCGGCGGCGGTTCTTGCGGAGATGGACAGAGTCAAGGACACTCCGCTGCGACAGGCGACCTTCGACGGCAGGTAGGTTCGATGAGAGAAGGGTTAGATGGAAGGTGCCCCCGGTCTGGGAGGTGTCAGTGTGGTGAGGTTTTGTGGACTCTTTGTAGTTTTATTTTAGCGGCGTTCGAGAATTTGGAGATGGAAGATCTCCC